ATTGCCCAAATCTATTCATTTATATTTCTCTCTTTTAACTAATGTTTTCTTTAATGCCTCTGCTCTGCCAGTGCCCTCATCCCCTCTGAGCCACCTGTTGGGAAATCATAACAACACAGTGTTTATTACATGCATTTTATATACATTTTTCTGTGACTATGTAAAAGAAGAAATTTAAATCTCCAGTTTTATAGTCAAGAGCAGTAACTCGCCTAAGACCACACAGTTAGTAAGTGTCAGAACCAGGATTTGAACCCCAAACTTTGGCTCTATAGTCTCTTGTTCTGAAGCCTAGAATCCAGCCATATTGGCCCTGCATACAAGTGACCCACCTCAAGCAGCCTGGGCCTGCCTTGCCAGGTCCTCCCTTGGCCTCCGGCACTTCACACACAACAACCTGTGCTTCCGTTCCAACCCTCCCTGACTTTGTTAGTCCCCACCCTTGGGATTCCCCTCTGGCCTCTGTCTCCTTCCTTCCTATCCATTGGGTCATGTGCCTTCCCAAGACAGGCTGTCGAGACAGCTCTGATTGCACTTCCCTGCACGGAACTGTAGGTGTCTGACTCCTGTCTGCTTCCCACGGTGGACAGAGAGTTCCTTGCGGGTGGAGGCCAAGGTTTTAAATCTCTATCTAACGACCTAGCCAAGTACCTGGCACACAGTCAGTGCTTAGTACCTGCCTTTGAGGAAATAACTGAGGGGGAGCCTAGATGAGGACCTGGAGGAGGAAGAGGAGCAGTGATTTCCCAAACAGTAGTCCCACCCTGGAGATGCTGTCAGTACCTGGAGCAGAGAGTGGGCGGCCCACCACCGTGTGGGTCAGAGGAGTACTGTGCGAACACAATTGGCGGGGTGAACCTCACGCCCTTGGGTCTGGAACTGGGGACACGGGCCCTAACTGCATGGAGACTGCTCTGCTCCCCACAAATCGAAGACAGTGAGAACACATAAACCTGCACAAATGTTACCATGGGTCACAGTGACTTCTGAGTTTTTTATAAATGTCAAAATTAAATAAAGGGTTCTTCGTCTTCCCATCTTCTAAATAATTCAGTGCTTTAAGCCAGTAGATGGGGCTGAGCAAGGCAGTCACTAATGTGGGGGGTGGAGGAGATACAGTGGTGGCCCAGAGGGGGCAAGTAAGTTAGCCACAGAGAAGGGCTGCCCAGCACAGTGCCAGGGCCTGGATGGGCAGAGGAAGGTCTCCCTCTAGGGGGACAGCCTGAGTGTCGGGATCTAGGCATGACTCGGGGGCATCTGCGCGGGGACGAGGGCAGCGCTGGCCACTGCAGGTGATGACGTTCGGGGCATTGATCAAATAAGCAGATGAGTAAGGGCAATGGGAGTTGGCTGCATTAGTGCCAGAGAAGGGCCTTGCAAATGCAGAGAGGGAGGGAACGAGAACGAACCCAGTGGTGGTGGCTTGGAATTGGAAGTGCCAGTGTGGGTTTATGTGTTTTAATACAAATAGATCAATACAGAAATGACTATAGATGTATGCATACACACACAGGTCCTGATTCTGCCCACTCAGTGAGGGAACAGTGACGCCCCAGTCAGCAATGGGCACACCTAGCAGTCAGATTTTGGATTGTAAATAATTCCCCACTAAAAGGAACTAGAACTCCTTGGGAAAATAACTGATTTAAAGGCTCATGTACCAGGAAGTGCTGAAAAGATAATGGGAACATGTCAAAGGAACACATTGAAATTCTGATTAGAAGTGAGATATTTATGTACTTTCAAAGCACTTCTTTACAGAACACTTATTAACTGAAAAAGGGAGAAGAGTGATTTACGGTGGAGAATGCTGGCAGACACCGTCTTCATCAAGTGGTCTCAGTGAAGCTTAAAATCATCTGCTACCCAACAGGCTGCAATGAGAAGAACGCAGCTTCATTTCTGTGCTATTCTTGCCAAAACTGTGTAACCTGAGTCTAGGCACGAGGAAACTCAGACAAACCCAAATTGAGAGACACTCTCCAGAATACCTGGCCTGTATTGCTAAAAAAGTGTCAGGATTACGAAAGTGAAGGAAATGCAGAGGAAAGTTCCCAGGCTGGATCACACGAAGGACACACGACAACTAAGTGCACAACTAAATGCCTCATTCTGAAATACTCACTTGCTTGGAAGGGATATTTTTGGACAACTGGCTTAAACATGAATGGATTCTGAGTCTGAGGATTCTGTAACAATTGAAAACATGCTGGGGCCTGAGGATGAGATAGTATTCAACACTAACAGATCCATGTTAATTTCCTGAGTTTGTGCTTCTGTAGGAGAATGTCCTCGTCTACTAGAAATGCTCACTAGCGTGTTTAGGTAAGGCAAGGCATCATTTCGGTAGCTTACTCTCAAAGGATTCAGATAATATAGTATAAAAGTCTTTGTACCATACTCTACATGCAACTCTTCTATAAGTTAGATTTTTTCAAAACAATATAAACATACTATACATATACACACACATACACACACGTATTCTACATCTACATCTACATGTTATGAATATGTTAGGTTTACATTATAATGTTTTCCAGATGTGCCAGGACAGGCTGCCTAGAGGCCACTTTGGGTGGACAAAATGCTTTGGGTATCTCTGCTGCACGTCGGTTCTCTGTGGAGGTGCGGGACGTGGGTACTCTCGCCCCACGCATGGAGTAAAGAATGAACAGATTCCTGAATAACTAGACAGAGATAACCCATGGAATCTGTGGAGCTCATCATGCCATCCATTTGCTATCTGATGATGGACTCGTCTGCCAGAACCTAAGAGTAGAAACACGGAGAGCTCCTTTGATCTCTCAGGGAGTCTGTGGGACAACTAAGGGCCAGTTCTTCCGTGCTGATCGGGAATGAGAATTGTGCACGGGACCGACCCCATGTTCATCTGAGGCTCAGCTCATGGTGCTAACCATAACCACTACCTCTCGGACACCTTCTGTGGGCCAGAAAATGGGATAGGCATTTTGTGTCCCTTTTATAATCATCATAATTGTTCTCTTTATTAGATATGGTTCCCAATGTATAGATGAGGAAATAAGGCTCAGCGAGGCTTAGTAACTCGGCCATTGTCATGTTCATATGTTGAAGTCCAGTATCTCCGAATGGGACTGGGTTTGGATATAAAGCCGTTACAGAAGTGATTAGGTTCAAATGAGGTCCTTAGGGTGAGCCCTGATTCGATCTGACTGTGTCCTTATGAGAAGCAGAAATGTGGACACACAGGGAGTCACCAAGGGTGGCCGTGCACAGGGGGAGGACCAGTGAGGACACAGCAAGAAGACACCACCTGCAGGCCAAGGACAGTGACCTGGAAGAAACCAAATCTGCCAATTCCCTGACTTGAGACTTCGAGCCTCTAGAACTTTGAGAAAATAAGTCTGTTGTTTCCATGACCCAGGGTGTAGTATTTTGTGATGGTAGCCCTAGCAACTAAGACAGTTATGTTATGCAACTGGCCGTGGATACAGCTGGGATTCAAAATCAAATCCTTGCAGCTCTTTCCACTGTCCTATGCCGCCTTCCTCCATGCAGGGCCTCTGCTGAGACACCTCCTCTCACCTTTCCCAACAGCTGCCCAGAATCCTCATCCCAAACCTGATGGACCTAGCAGATCCCTCCTCCATCCTCCCAGAGCACTTATCACACTGCGTGTAATCAACTGCATACAACTAACTCACCATGTCCTGACCAGACTGAGAGTAGGGCCCTTCCTTCCTGGGCACATGTCCCATGGAACACATGTGTCCCATGCGGCCAGGCATGTGGCCATTACAACAGTTAGTATTTACTGAGCACTTAGGTGCACCAAAGGCCTCACATGCATTATCTCATTTAAACCTTCAGACCATTCCATGAGGTAGGTATTACCATTATTCCCATTTGATATATTAGAACACTGAGCTTACAGGAGTTAACTACCCCAGGACACAGAGCTAATAGGTGGTGAGGGCAGGATTCTGATCCAGATGGTCTATGCCCCAGGCTGTGCTCTTCACCCCCGCCCACCTCTGCTCTGAGCACGTTCCTGCACAGGATGCTGTGCAGGTGGAGGAGCTCTCCCTTGGTTCAAGCCCCTGCTTTCTGCTAAGCCCGAGCATGACACGCACTAGCTGTGGAGAGTCGTCTCACACACCACTTCCACCCCCAGCCCCTCTCTGCACGACGCCTTTAGCACTCCTCGAGCCTATAGTTTGCACCACACCCTGACCTGTGACCCCGTGTTGGGCACAGGGGACAACATTTATCAATATTTGTTAAATCGCATCCAATGCCCAGGGATGGATGTAAACAGGAATAAGTAATAAGATGGTATATTGTATTGGACACTATGACGATCTCTTTCTGGATTTTCCAGGAGAGTTCTAGCTTCTAAAATGTCATCCTCTCGCCAGCCCTTCTGCCAGAATTTGTGGCAGAGAATGCCATCAGCACTTGGTACAGAGAGCAAAGTCATCATCCCACTGAAAAGAGGTGGGAACAGAGTAAATACGCTGCCTGTCACTTACCTATGCACCTGCTGTTGGGCAAGTCACCACGACTCTGGCCCTAAGTGTCTGTACGAGTAAAACTGCAAAGGTAATGCCTAGTCCCACAGTAGGGACGAAACCGGTATGTGGCTGATGAGGAACGACACTGTGTAAGTCCAGTCACCGTTGGTGGGATTGCTTACGTTTTTACTGACCCGTTTGGCCAAGAAAAAAAATTAAATTAAAAAGCAGTTTTTATTTTTGAAAGTAAAGGAAGAAGGCTTCCATGAAGACCAGTGCATTAAAAAAACAAAAAAACAGACATAAGGAGAGCAACTATCCTGAGGTCTTTTCAGAGTATTTAAAAAAAGACATAACTAGATATTTCTATTTTCTAGGTTCTCCTCAGCAATTCTGTGTGGTGGGGAAGGGCAGGGTGGAGGCTGGGCTGGAGTAATCAAGGCACAAATTTGTCTCAAATTGCATCAGATGCATGCCACCTGGTGTAGGAACCAGGCCTCTTACCTTTGCTGCATTGTGGGTCAAGTCCCAGTGGGGTCAGGCCTCTGGGGACAGTCCACTTGGGAGCTGAACTTTTCTGACTCAGCAGCATCCAAGGAAAACTTTCTCTTTCCTCCGTCCTATCTTGTAGACACGCACGAACTTCACTTTGTATACTCGGGTAAATCTCTCCCTCCGTGTCTTCTGCAAGTCTCCTCCACGATCCCAGAACACTCACCACACTGCACACATGTAACCCGCAGTGTCACAGAGACAACCGCTCTACAAACCTCAGGGCAGCTTCTAGGGAGTTTCCAGGGAGAGCAGCCCCCCACAGAGCAGGCTGTCATTAGCATTAGTGACAACTCTGTTCTGGTTTGAATGTGACCGAGGCCTGCTACAGCTTCCTTTTGCGCTCGCCAAAAGCCAGGATCCTTTTGTTCACCTTTAGGACTGCCAAGTCAGGCCTGCCGCACCCCTGGCGCTGCCTTCCTGCGGGCAATGGGAAAGTGAGCTTGGGGCTGGGAAGGGAAATCAACAGGGAAATAAACACAGGGTCGCTGCACCATCAGGTCATCATGAGTCCTGGGACATCATCAAGCTGGGATCTGGACAGGTTTCAGAATCCTGGGCATCTTTTTCTTTTTAAATATGAGAAGAGACATATATACATTTGTCTGAAATCTATATTGGACAAATCAGGCAATTCTGACTTGTTCCAATGCCTTGCCAAACTTACAAAGATTTTTCCACATGCAGTGTCTCTTATAACTGAACATTGGCTTATGTTTGTAGGCAAAGAAACTGAGCAAGTTTATAGCTGATGCTAGTTAAGGCTTTTATCTCTGCAGATACAGAGTTATTGTTAAATAGGATTTCTTCTACTTACTCTTCAACAAAAGTCCGCAACAGCAGCAACATATTTGGTAACACTTAGCACGTGCTTGCTGTCTGCCAGGCCCTGTGCTAATCGCCTGACCTGCATGATTTCATGTAGGTCTCAACATAATCCTATGGTTCTCATTCCCATTTTATAGATGCCTAAATTGAGCGTTAGAGAGATTAAGTCGCTCCTGCAAAGCAACCCAGCTACATTTAAAACATGTAAACCCTGCCTTTCTGGACGTGTGCTTTTCTGCATCTCACTTTTCCCGCCGGTCAGCGGGAGCACGTCTGTGGATTGATGGCTCTGGTGCTGGTCAAAGGGCTTGCTTAACACACTCTTAGCTCTGGGGATAGAATCCTAGACAGAAACACAGATCGTTGGTTAGGTAAGCGCCCTCTCCCCTGAGCCGTGAATGAATGCTATCTTTATGTCGTTTGTACATGGAGCACTCCTAGCCCAGGTGCCCTCTCTTTTCTCTAATCCAGGGTGGTACAGGCTGTGGCCGCCTGGCTCTCCGCTGCGATTCCTATTCACTGAAGTCAAGCACACTGTGACTTTCTTGACCTCTGGGTTTGCATTGGTCAGGGCCTGATGGTGTTCGTCCTTTTGACTTTGGGAGCCTAACAGCTCCAAGATCCTTTTAATCAATCATCCCTGGGATGAATGACACTCAGTTCCCAGCCCGGAAAACTTCTGCTTGGTGAGAAGAAATCAGCACAGGTGTTTTCAGTCCTCAGGTCATTGTGCAAGTTTTTGTTTTATTGTCCTCATCTCAGCTCCATTGTTAGCCCAAGGCTGTTCCCGGGGCAGCTCACAGCTGGTCAGAGGAAAGTAAAACCATTAATTAGGGGACGAGGAGATGCCTCCCGGCGGGGTCCACGCTGTCTGTTTTTGTAAATATGAAAGTTGCGACATCTGGGCAGTTGTTACTCATCTTTGTTACCCCTGGATTTGATTTGGTGCAGCTTTAGGGAGTTTTGCTCTGGGGCCACGTAAGCCCTTAAACTTGAGGTTGGTCAGCTTTTTGTTCTTAACAGAGAATCCAGACTTACTGGAATTATGGCAATAAAGAAGATTAGAAAGGGGCTGGGCGTTTAGTTTAGATATCATTTCATTTTTCTTTCCTGGTGGTTTACAACTAAACACAGTGTCCAAATATGTTTATAGACTCTGGGCTCGGAGTTCTTTGATGAGGGAAGGCAATTTGTAAGAGTCAAATGGGCCTTTTCAACCTTATCATGGGAAACAAAAAACCAAAACATTGGAAAGGAGTTGATGTCATGGAGGCTTTCATGTTCCTCATCTGCTTCACAGCTTTTCACCACCAGGAAATAAAGACAGCAGACCCGGGGCCTGTTAGAAACGCCAAGCTGTTTCATTCAGAAAGGTAAGGTACATGGACTTTATTTCTCCTTCCTCTCCTGTGAGCATCTGGGTCAGGACTGATGAAATGAGATCCAAGAATTGTGTCCATTCTGGGATTGACGATAAACACACACGCGACTCCAAAAATATTTTTTTGCATGGTCATGGAACCAAGGCCGCTGAGTTTAAAACTGGAAACAGAGAGAAGTCATGGATGGAAAACAGGACATATTAATTTAGCTTTACACATGTGCCCTTTCCGAAGCCAGGATTACTCACTCCCTGGCAGCTGACGGCGTGGAGCCCTGGGCCCGCTCGAACTCCGTGACTCTAGAGTGTCCTTTCCATTTGGTGTGGGCGGTTCCAGGTGAGTGACAGGCTCCAGCTCAGCAGAAATGTCCAGATGCGAATAAAAACCCTAATCACGATGGGGAAGCAAGCACAGCTTCACCGCACAAGGAAAAATGGCCCATTGTTTGGAGGGTCTCAGAAAAGTGACATGCCCAGTTACATTCAGAGAAAATGTGCTCATTTTTGGTGCATTCTGAGAAAAGGGCATTAACTCTGAGGAAAGCAAAGTCAGAGCGGAGCCATTTCAGTGTTCCGTAGACCCTGAGCTAGCTTCATCTCGGCCCCTCCGCACTCGCACAAACCGCTCAGGCTGAAAATGGGTTCTTCCGCACAGGAGGAGGAACATCGTTTCTTTGAAAGTGACCGCCATCCTTTCCCTCCTCTAAGCGTGTAAGGGATAGTCTGCCCGCCTGTCCCTACACATTGGAGAGGCAGCAAGGAGCCTAGAGCCCCACCCGAGGCACTCACACCATCTGGGCCACCACCTCCCACGTTTATATCTCTGGCTCAGACCTCTTTTCTGCGCCTCACAGCCGTCTCCGAGTTCACACATCGGAAGCCAGCTCTTCATCTCTTTCTGCTTTCATCTCAGCAAATGGCCCTTCCACCCACCCACCAAGTGCTACGGCCTGCGGGAGAGTCCCTTTTCCTCAGCCTCTCCCTCCGGTCCCTCATTCTGTCCCTGAACTGAGCATCTCCTATCAGTACCACCTCCAAAATTTATATCAGCTTCACACAGCACCTCCACTTTCCACCAGCAGAACCTCAGCACCCCCGCTGCCAGCACCGGGTCGCTGCAGTTTGCTCTGAGCTGGTCTTCCCGCTTCCCTCCTGCCTTCGGTCCCTCTACCAGATCTGTACTCCACCTTCCAGCACCACTAGACTTTCAAAAAAGTAATTCCGGTTATGTCATTAGCCTATCTATAAGCCTCAAGGCTTTCCATTGCATTAAGGAAGAAAGTAAAAAAAAAAAAAAAAAGCCTGACTTGGTTCTCAGGGTTTGGCATAATTTGGTCCCTACTCACCTCTCCAATGTTACCTCCCCGACACTCCCCATTCAGCACACTCCGGCAGCCTGACTTGCTGTCAAGCTGACTGTCAATCTCTTGAACAAGGCTTCTTCACGTCACAGCTTTGCTCTTCTCGGGTTGGCTTGTACTGACCTTCACCCCTCCCCCGCAAAAAACACACAGACTCACTCTCTCTTCCTACCAGGCCTCAGCTCAAAGATCATTTCCTAGAGAACACTCTCTCCCATTTCCTTTGTTGTACTTGATATGATTTATAAGAATATTCTTTATTTGCTTATTTGCTTAATATATTGTTTACCCTGCTACACCCGCCTTTGTGGCACAGCTCAGGGACACCCGTGGAGGGGCCTGGTGTGGGCCCAGGACTAACATGTCCTCTGGCTTGCCGTGTTCATTTTTGTACTTCGTCCCCTGAGAAAATAGTACAGCAGAGTGGAAACCGTGCTGTTATAAAAGTGCGTGGGGACGCACTTTGGGAAACCAAACACCACCTAGATTTAGAACATCAGTTTACGGGGCCCGGGGGGGGCGGGGATGTGTTCCAAATTCCCACGGCCAACATTTCTCAGAGCAAAAACTCTTTCTCAGTGGGAGTTACCTGTTTTGTGTTTGATATGAATTTTCAAATATTACATATGATGACTCATCACAAGCCATGCCCTCCTGACCTCTCACCTCTCTCTGAGCAGGGCTACGAGATCACTTACTCATGCAGGGGTTGTATTTTTTTAAAAATATATTTTATTGATTATGCTATTACAGTCGTCCCATTTCCCCCTTCATTCCCCTCCACTCTGCATAACCTCTCCCACCCACATTTCCCCCCTAGTTCATGTCCATGTGTCATATTTATAAGTTCTTGGCTTCTACATTTCCCATACTATTCTTGCCCTCCTCCTGTCTATTTTCTACCTACCATCTATGCTACTTATTCTCTGTAACTTTTCCCCCTCTCTCCCTCCCACTCCCCTGTTGCTAATCCTCCATGTGATCTCCATTTCTGTGGTCCTGTTCCTGTTCTAGTTGTTTGCTTAGTTTGTTTTTGTTTTTGTTTTAGGTGTGGTTGTTAATAATTGTAAGTTTGCTGTCATTGTACTATACATGTTTTTTATCTTCTTTTTCTTAGATAAGACCCTTTAACATTTCACATAATAAGGGCTTGGTGATGATGAACTCCTTTAACTTGACCTTATCTGAGGTTTTGTATTTATTTGTGTTGAGGCGGAGCCAGGAGATGTTTATTGTCTTGTGTATATGTCGGAAGCAACTTCCGATTCATGCCCCTAGAGAGAGCAACATGGAACCGGCTTCCAGCCGCCTCCCAGGGCTGCTCTCAGTAGGACTGAAGACCGGCATGGCCGGCGCGGCAGGCAGAGCATGCCCTTCTCTGGGCCCCCTTATTCCAGGTACCGGGCTGCAGCCCTGAAAAGCAAAGGCTATTTCCCTCTGCCTCGTGGACCTTGTGCACTGGGGCCCGATGACAGGAGGGGGTTCCTGTGCAGCGTCTAGTTTCTCTGCTGCAGGCAGCCCCAGCCGGGACTTTCTAGCTCCCATCTTCTTCCCTCTCACTGGGTGG